TGACTCCAAGCCCTGCCCTCACCAAGCTCATCCACCATTCCCTGCCGAGCCCCCAGCGCTGGGAGTTCAGTAAAATCCTACAGATCCCTGGCTTAACCGGACACTGCCTGCTTGGAGAGCTCAAGGCTGCAGCTGGAAGGGCCGTGGGAGAACACACAGAAATCCTCAGCACGGACAGGACAATCTGCTCAGGGCAGAGGGAGGAAGGGGGGCTGGAAGGGAGAGTTTCCCTTGTTGTTCTAAGTCAGCTTTGCCTTCCACAATCACGGAACCACGGAATGGTTTGGGGTGAGAAGGGGCACTAAAGCCCACCCAGTTCCACCCCCTGCCACGGGCAGGGACACCTCCCACTGTCCCAAGCTCCAAGCTGTCCAACCAACCTGGCCTGGGACACTTCCAGGGATGGGCAGGAGTTTACAGGGATACAGTTTAGTTCTAAGCCATGATGAAACTAAAAGTGTGTTGCAGATTTTCCACACATTCACGTTCCAACACCCCACGGGCAGGGCACACTTTCCCCACCACACGCTTTAAGACAGAACCATTCCAAGGTATTCCACAGCCTTTTCATGGAACCCACTCAGGTGACAAGGAAGGCTCCTGAACCTAAGCAGCCTAAAATCCACTATAACCCACCCCCCCAGTGCCTTTGGAAGAGCATTTACACGCTGGGAAGTCATGAACAACATCCCAGCTCCTCTCCTGAGCTCTCCTCAGGGAGATTCCACCTGAACCAAGACTGGGGTGTCTGCACAACACATCCCTTTTAACCCTCAGGAAAGATCCTCTCCGGGCACAGCAGGAGGAACAAGACTCCTGCCTTCCCTGTACATTCCAGTGGCACCTCCCAGCAGGGAGCAGTGGGATGGAAGCGTGTGGAAAAGGACACACACGGATGAAAGGGAGCTATTTTTAATGAAATTTAAAGTCTTCCCACTGCCTTAGTTACTTTAACGGGGTTGATCAGAAATATCAAACCAGATGAACTCAATTCAACCTTTTATATAAGTTATAATGTCCCTCAAGATTTTACTAATAAAGGAAGAATTTCAGTTCTTTGAATTAAGGGAAGGAAGCCTTTCCCAGGGTACCTTCACTGCCACCAAAGAGCCTGACACGGCAACAGAACCACCGTTAATGATTCTCCAGTCAGTCTGACCTCCACTTGGAGACATTTTGGGATACATTCAGTCTCTTCCCACCTGCTTTGAGAGTGACCACAATAAAAATTACAGAATCCCAGGATCACTGGAAAAGCCCTCCCAGCCCATGGATCCACCCTGTGCCCCATCCCCACCTTGTCCCCCAGCCCAGAGCACTGAGTGCCACGGCCAGGCCTGCCTGGGACACCTCCAGGCCTGGGCACTCCAAACCTCCCTGGGCAGCCCCTGCCAGTGCTATTTAAAGGGAAAAATCCCATCCCAGTCTAGAGCAGCCAACCTTCCCAGCTTCTCCTCTCCAGCACAAGTGAGAAGTGCCAGGAATACGGAAGACAACCCAGAAATTCTCCCATTTTGGGGGGTTTACACCATCAACACCTGCCCTGAGTTTGTGAAGTTGTGTTTTTCTGAGATCACCAGCTCTTTCCCAACCCTACTTCCCTCTGCCAGGAATTCAGGGATAAATGGGTGGAATGGCTGCAAATACACCAACCCTCAGCCAGAACTGCCCGAGTTGCACAGACATCAAATGACCCATCGCAGTGCCAAACCCCTGCCCCCAGCACACACACAGCTCCTGCCCACACACAGCTCCAGGATCAGCGGGATATGTTTGGGCTTTTCCCCTTCCTCATCTCCAGGAAATAAATAAAGAAAGCTCCTGCCACCAACTCTTCTGACACTCACATGTACCTTAAATACTCCCAGGGTCTGACAGTGAATAAACAGCAACTCCAACTGCTGAAGCAGGTCCAGAGGACATAGGAATGATCAGAGGGATTGGCACCTCTGCTCTGGGACAGCTGGGGGGGTTCACCTGGAGAAGAGAAGGATCCAGGGAGACCTGAGAGCCCCTTGCAGGGCCTAAAGGGGCTCCAGGAGAGCTGGAGAGGGACTGGCGACAAGGCATGGAGGGACAGGACAAGGGAGTGCCCAAGGGCAGGGACACCTTCCACTGGCCCAGGTTGCTCCAACCTGGCCTTGGACACTTCTAGGGATCCAGGGGCAGCCACAGCTTCTCTGGACAACCTGGGCCAGGGCCTGCCCACCCTCCCAGCCAGCAGTGTTTTGGAATTCCTGTTCCATCCCAGCAGAGGAGCAGCTCCCTGTCCCTCTCTCCCTGGTGCTGGTGACTGTTCCCAGTGCCTGTGGTTCATCCCTCACACTCCACACCCCCAATCCTCGTGGCAAACACCGGGTTCAACACATCTTTTATCAACTCAGGCTCAGAGCGACAGCGAATTCCTTCTCCTCCCCGTGTGGACATTTGCAAAATGAGATGCAAATCATGAGATCCATGGAATGATCCCGGTAACTGAAGAGGTAACCGAGACAGTTGCTATTTTAAACTCTTGGCCAGGCTCTGGGAATGTCTTTCACAGGAGCTGACCCAGCACAGAACCAGCACGTGGTGGTGGTGACAGAGCTTGATCCAAACCCTTTCCAATCTGCAGGGAGCTGTGCCAGGGCAGGTTTAGGCTGGATATCAGGAAAAGGTTCTTCCTCCAGAGAGTGGTTGGGGCACTGAATAAGCTCCCCAGGGCAGCGGGCACAGCTTCAGAGCTCCAGGAGGGTTTGGACAACGCTCTCAGGGAGAGGGTGGGATTGTTGGGGTGTCTGTGCAGGGCCAGGGGTTGGATCAGCTATCCCTGTGGGTCCCTTCCAGCCCAGGACATTCCACGATTCCAAGTACAACCCGGGATGGATGCGAAGCTGTTGTGGATCTTTGAGTCAGACAATGAAAAGCCACAGGAGGTCCATCCCAAGGTCAGGCACCCTTGGATAAGGAAACGCAGCTGAAAATTCTCCAGTGCTGTTATTTATGGCAATGAGCTGCCAAAACCTGCAAGGACAGGCCTTTAGTGCCAATTGGGCTGGCTGGGAGTCTCCAGTAAATCACTGGCAGGGGGCTGGAAGGTCCCCACGCGTCCCAAGGGGCCGGTGACTCCCAGGGCAGGGCCCAGCAGTGTCACCCCAAGCCAGCCCCTCCTGGATGGCAGCTCAGCCATTTTAAGACCTGTCAAGCCACTCCAACGAAAAACGAGGCGAGGAGCCCTGCCAGGTTCGTACATAACGCCGCGCTCCAACCTCCCAGCAACTCGCAGCTCCTGTATTTTTATCCCCCAAGCTCTTCCCAAGCGATTGGATCATTCGGGTTATCGAGATTTTTTGACTGCACTGTTTCAGTTGCCTAAAAAGGGCCCAGCTTTCCAGGAGAGAGAAGTAAACGCCCTCCAAAATTCAGAGCACGCTATAAATGTCTCAAGTCTTCCCTGACAAGAGACTGCAGGCGCATCTCAAAGTCTTCCTGTTGGGGAAGGGAGACAGAGATTCACCATCCTGGAGAAATTCAGGAGGAATTCGTTGCTGGCAAGGGTGGTGAGGCCTTGGCAGGGGCTGCCCAGGGAGGTTTGGAGTGCCCAGGCCTGGAGGTGTCCCAGGCAGGCCTGGCCGTGGCACTCAGTGCTCTGGGCTGGGGGACAAGGTGGGGATGGGGCACAGGGGGGATCCATGGGCTGGGAGGGCTTTTCCAGCCTCAGGGATGCTGGGATTCTGGGATTCAGTCTGTCAGAGGGAGAGGATCAAGAGCTCTAGAATTATTTTAGAGCTCACTCTCAGCCCCCTCAGGCTCCTATCTCGGACTCTCCAGGAACACACTCTCAGCTGCGGCTTCCAAGATGAAACAACACTGAGAAAGAACTTCCTCATTCACCTCCTAACACAGCCAGGATTAAATCCAAGATCTGCATGGATTCCTCTTCCATTCACACAAGGCTCGAGGGACCCAGCGGGGCAAAGGACACCTTTCCTACTGGAGGAAGGGCCAGGTTGGATGGGGCTTGGAGCAACCTGGGCTAGTGGGAGGTGTCCCTGCTCACGGCACTGGAGCAGCTTTAAGGTCCTTCC